ATGATCAATAAGTTGGAGGACTTCTCTCATCGGTTACTCGTTCAATGGAAAGAATTCGGCAAGAGTGATACAAAACTTAGAGTAAAGAAAAGGCGAGGATGGCTACCCATTTTTAAGTTTATAGCTTTCTTTTTATATAAATATTACCTTGTATCAATAGATAAATTCACTAATTTGAATAAACTCCGATAGCTCATAGAACGTGTTTTTTCTCAAGAAAACCTTTGATTTTCTTGAATTCTTTATTCAGATCTGGCTCAATTTTCCAACGAAGGTAAAGTTAATAATCGTACTGGTGCTAGAAACACTTCATGTGGTGGTAATACTGAGGATCGTCCTATAACTCCAATGCGAGCAACTTATAAACAAGTAGCTGAAAGATTTGGTGATGAGGATGATTCAAAATATTATAATAATCAATTTAATGATCATAGTCCAACACGTGAACGAGAAACGAATGAGGGAACCTCAAAAACTCGACGAGTAATGTCTGGATCACAACGTTCAACAATAAATTCATTAAGTCAAACTATGAGTCCAAATCATCCAGCTAATTTTAACAAAGAAAGAAAATCTAAGTCACCATCAAGAACTATTGGTAGTGCAACAAGACAAAAACCTTCATTATATACATCCATTGATGATAGTAAAACTAATTAATATTAAATCTATAAGATCACGTCATTTAATATTTTAGCTAATGCTACATTAAGAGATGATCCAACTAAAGATGCATTTGGTCGATTTGCAAAAGATGCAAAAATTAATACATTACGAACGTATGTGAGAGTTTTTATTTTTTCTATTGAATTATTCTATCATTTCAGAAAAGCAATTCAATTATTGGGTGAAGCTACATTTGAAAAAGTTTATGATTATTTGGTTCAACAGCGTACAGCACAAAAAACAAATCCTAATTTTAATGAAGCACAAATGACTGAAGGACTTAAAGCATTTGTTAAAAGACCTGCTGATTGTTTTCTTGTTGATCAACTTGTATTTCTTGAACTTTAACAAAGTTAATAAGTGTCATTTATATGAGCCTATTTTACGTAATCATCTTTCCATATTTTTTTTATAGTCAAAGCAAAAGAAATATTTCCTTTATACTATTCGTGATTATATTTTATTTTTAATGAAAAGAAAAAAAGAAAAATGTTTCTATTCTGTTCTGGTTTTCTCTTGTTTATCTAGAAACGATCATATGAAAAATATGTGATATTACCAAAAAAAAATTTAGAGAGATTAATAAAAGAAATCTTGAATGAGAACATGACAATCAATAGAAAAAAAGATTCGTGAAAGAATGAACGAACAAATTAAGATAAATCTGTCATTTCTTCACCCAAACGAAAACCTGGATTTTTTTGTTTTTGTATTATCTTATGTCTCCTGAAAAAAAGTTGTTAGCACAATCCCTATGGAATTAAAATGTGAAACACGACGCAGCTATTCTTGCTAATCACAGGGAGATTGTTTTATCTTATCTGTTTTGGGATACTTTTCTTCACCATTCTTTTACTCAATCCTTGATAAATGCACGAAGGAAATCTTTCATACATTATAACAAGACTTTAGTGATATACGGTCTTTGATTATATGTCAACAACGTCTGTCACAGTGTGGGGGAGGAGTTCTAAATTCGTACCCCTATACTTCAACACTCTTTTTTGATGGTATTTAATGAAACATTTAAAAATTCGAAGTCTGTCATAAAAGTTGATCGAAGATATTGAAATTTTTCTCATGAGAAGTTTCTCAGAAGTTCTCACAAGAAAAGATGATATCCTTAGAGACAGCTCTGTTTTTGTTTTCTCATTGATAAAATTGATTCAAGTCTACTTTTTATTCTCAGAAATATTCTTACGGTAAAATGAGACGATTCTTTTCCGTCTGGTTGAATTCTTACTTTACACGCTTCAATGTATACAATCTATTATTAGTAATAAGATAGAGAGTTGTGTAGATTCAACTTTTTGGGATCTGTATCGATGTAATCTAACAAGAACCTACAAATCTTATTCGTATTCTATTCAATATTTTCTTTGAAAATGGTTATTCTATAAGAATTTTAAATTTTGTTTAACATAAGCAATACACATCGAAATTATATCAAGAAATTTCGTTAGTTCTAACATAATTTTAAATTTTATTATTCTTGAATAGATTATCAAAATATTTTTCAAAATTTTATGCAATTTATTGAATCAATATACTATTGTACGATTGAAGAATACCAGATTCTATAATTTCAACTTTACTATGAAGCTAGAATCACATTGTTACACGCTGTTAGTTTTCAAATATATCCACAATTATTATGTATGATTTAAAATTGATGATACGAATGTTGACCTTCGTGTTTCATTAATAGAAACATTCTAAAACGAAAATAGGAAATAAAACAATTCTTCATATCGATCTTCTTTTAAAAGAGCTTGTTAGGTGGAAAACCATTTTCTTTGTTCGTCTTTGAACATATCCACCAAAAAGAATGGTGAAACGATCAACACTTATCTTATTACTGTTGCATTCCACCCCATTGGTTAATATTTTTGAAAACTTGAATGAGCGAATAGAATAACATTTTCATAGTTCTTTACTATTACATAAAGCGATATAATTTGGAATTTTACAATTATTTCAAAGTATATTAGCACAATGATCTAGTTAGGCTTCAGTGTTTTTGTTAACATGCTGAAGAAGAGTAATAGATTGTAAAACCGTGTCAAAAACTGCTCGCAAACTATCAACGCAATACATATAAATAATATGAACGAATAGCTATAGATCACATTAGTTTTTTAATTAATCCTGGAAAAAGACATTAAAAACTGTAGATTGATTCTGGAAAAATGAATCCTACATATCATTAAAGGTTTTTTTTTTCTGTGCGAATAAGAAATCTCCGGTTGTTGTTAGACTATAGCTCTCAAGTTGGACTGAATCATAAAATTTCTTTCTAATATTAAAAGGTAGAGAATTTTGCGTAGACCTAATTGATATATATTCTTTTCAAAAAAAGCATTTGTTCTTTTCTTCTAGTACTAAATATACTGATTTTATCAGAATAAAATGTCGTTTTTCTTTGTCACATTATTTTACATACGCTTTTCAGACGCAGTATGCAGAATATCAGAAATATATCTGCTTTCAGAGACGCAATACCAAATTTTCAAATACAACTTGGTGATTTAAATCACTGCTTGCAAAAGATGTTGAATTGCTAACTGTAAACAGCTTTTGATGTTTAGAAATGGATCTGAGTTTCGTCACTAGATAGCAAAAACACTTCAATTCCAATAGCGGAAAGCATTTGGTAGAGCTTAAAATTCTGCATCTGTTGATACCAGAGGAAAAGTTTATGTAAATCCAAGTTTCAAGAAAATTGCAACGAAAAATAAAATTCCATAGGCCAAGATTGTTTTATTTGTTTTAAGCAGAAACAACTACACTTATTAAAAGCAAACAAACTACTAGATACACTGAAAAATTCTACATATCTTATACTCCAAACCAAAATTTCAAACTACATTTAACTATTCAGAAATTCATGTTCAGAATTGTTTCATTTAGCAGTTGTATATATGATGTTTTTGTGGTGTTCAATGCTTTTAATTCTACAAGAGAAGAATAAATGATTACTAATTTCGAAAAGACAATTATCAATGAAATCTAAACAAAACTTTCTATCTATTATCGTCACACAATTAAACTTTATAATCATATCTAACTTGAGAAAACAGTCTAACAAAAATCAGCGATTTCTTCTGTCATATCCGTTCTAATAGAAATTCGAAAATGTATTTATATTTGCTCGTAGGTCTTAATCATTTTTTTCTACATTTTTGATTTCTTGAAATTACACTAAAAAAGATGAAAAATGAATGACGAGACTTTAAAAAAAATGAATCAATTGAAGCTGTCTCTAGTACATCAATGAACAATTGTCATTGGCTGTATTTCAACGATAATAACAAGAAAAAACAGATTATTGTTGCGTGTTCAGAATATGAAATGTAATTATACTCGTCAACATTCTATTTGATATCTCATTATTCCATCAGTTTATATATCATCTTATTAATAAACGTATTCAATCGAACAATATCGGATTTCTACAAATCGACTCTACGTTAGTATAATTGAAATAGATTGCAATATAATTCAATTTTACTCAAAGAAAAAAAGCTGTTAGCGCAATCCCTGCGGGATTAAAATGTGATACACGATTTAGCTGCTCTTGCTAATTACAGAAGATTGTGTTAGTGAATCTATTTTTGGACATACTTCTTCACCATCTTTTTACTTACTCCTCTAGGAATACAGTAAGAAAATAATTAATATATTATTACGAGACGTTATTGATATACAATCTGCTATCGTATATCAGCGCCTGTCATGATCCATGATGATCTCTGGTTAGTGTCTCTATCACGGTTCGTGATGTTATCTGGCTAGCTTCAATCATGGTCTACGGAGGAGAGGAGGTTCAAACTTTTACCCTTATTCTGCAATAATCCTTTTAGATTGTGTTTAACAATAAAAAAAAATATGACGAATAAACAAAGCACTGATTATTAATTAACATATAAATATAACAAATACTATTTATTTACATATCATTCGAATAAATTTTGATGCTTAGAATTTCATTAGATTTTTATTTATTCACTGTCAATCTAATAAATATACATTAGAATAAAGACTAGAGATTAATAGTACTTTTTAGTAATTCTTATTCGTCTTTTATTTTATATATATATATATATATAGCAAATAAAAAAGAAAATGAAAAATCGACATTTGTATTCAAGCTATTTTACCAGTTCTATGTCAGTCAATGAGAATAAAGAACGAACTAGAGACAGAAATAAATAGTTTTATAACGACTCGTTGTCATTTTTCTTCTTGCTTTCATTCTTTAGATAACTAATAAAATAATTTCTTACATTGAAATTAATCGATCTAACATTAAATAATTTACAATTACTTATCATATGAATCTATCAAATATATTAGATAATAATAATAATAATAATAATACTACATTTTTAATAACAACATTACAGTCAACTCGGAAATCTTATGTAGAAAATCCATTTAATTCATGGTATATCGGTGGTATTTTATTCTTGTGTACTTTCCTGTTGGTACTTCTTTGTGCGAATTATTATCATAAAAATTATTGTCAAATATGTTTAGCACGTTTAATGCCAAATCTTTATATGACACAGTCACCACCATCATCTTCAACTCATTCTTTTGTAAATCGTGTAGTCGATCCAGTTCTTATTTAATATAAATTAACACGATCAAAAGCAAAGTTAGACTTGATGTTTTACATATAAATGTATTTGTCTACATGAACATTGTTAATACACATGAGAATTTTTGTTTTGCTTCAGAATATTTCGATAGCATAGAATCATAAACAATGTTTAATATTTTTTTAACACTCTGGGGAGCAAACAAGAAACTTTTCTCTAATGTAATGATGAAATAAACCGAACGAGAAGCCAAGACATAACTTAAATAAAATGTTGGTCCCAGTGTTTTTTTTAATATTTCTGTTTGCTTTCATAGTTTTAGACTAATTTTTTTTCAAAAGATTGATACTCAGTTCTTTACAAAATTGTTTGCGACTAAATTTTATAGACGTAGAAAAATAATTTTTTTGAAGGAATACTATTACCTACAAACATGAAACATTAGTCAACTTAGAAGTTTGAAATATTACTCGTTTATGTTTATGTTTTCTCAGATTGCCCTATAGTAACAAAGTACAAAATCTAATTATTTTAGAGAACTTCAAAAGTCTTTTCTCTTGGGAATATTTAATATTTTTAAAAGAAAGCCTTTTTACAGAAAAAAGAAACGTAGAACGTTTTTTCTAATTCTATTTTTAAAAGCACGCCAGTTACTAGAGCTTAATGATTCCAAAATTTGAGAACCTGAACTCGAATCGCGCTCCTAAATGCAACGAAAGTCTGAGTTTGCAAGTCACTTCGAAGATGCGAGATACTTTTAATTGAATGATTTGTGTTCAGCTATTAATACAACGTACACATTTCTGAGACATTCTCCACGATGATCTTATAATTGACAAGTCTTAATTAACTCTTACTTTTAGAGTATAACTCGATGGAGTAGTACTGAATACGGATCTGAAACTGGTAGAATCTCGGTTCGAGACTAACCCGACACTACAAAAGTTCTATCGGTTTCAATTCTACTGAGTCACAGTGTGAAAATCTATCTTACTTGTAAACGAATAACACTTCATATTGACAGAATTATCAAGGAAAATCTTACTATGCCAAATACGAATCATAATTCATAACATTTAATACTCAACGAATATGATTATTTGAGATGTTCCGCTACAAGCATCATTAGAGAAAACACTCTAAAATGTATCGATCTTATTTATTTGAAGCTTTGAAGCAATGTTTAGCTTATAGATAAAAAAAGATCAAAAAATGCAGTTAGAAAAGAGTACTGTAGAAGTTGTTGATTTTTCATCTTTGTAGTATTATCACTTCTAAATGCTTTTTGTTTCTACTTCCATATAATTCACAAAACATTAATGAAATTCTGACATTCACATTTATTATGAGTCATCTGTTACATTTATATATATATATATTAGCCAATTCTCGTCAATAAACATATTGACACTAGATTAACTGACCTATCGATTCTACTGATCACAAGTAGCGCAGTTATGATTTGCATATTACTTTATAAAAATGCTGCGTTCTCTGTAATTATTTGCTGATAATACAGCTTGAAATTAATGCATGCATAATGATGCTTATTTTTTTCTCTAATGTATACATAATATGAGGTCTCAAAATACAATCATTCATATAAATGACTGCTTATGAACTGTCATGAGTTTTTAATACACATCTGATTGACTACTTGTTTAGTATTTCCATGAAAATCTGGAATCACTTCATTATAGCTCTTATCTATTGATATCATGTCGTTTTATCTCATGGATGAAGAAATGTATTTTTTAGAATCATTACTTTTACCTTCGTTAGGTATTAGAATAAATTTATGAACGAATATTATAAATGCAAACTCTTTTTGCTCTGTAAATCTGTTAAATATTTTAAACTTTAACAATCAAGAGTTGTCCTCATAAAATTGTATATCTATATTCATGTAAATCAGTTTATTATAGATTAGTATTGGAATATATGTTAATTTAATATTAAAAAAAATCTGTTTTCTTTTCTATTCTAGGCTGGATAATTTTATCTGAAATAGTCTCGAAATTATTGTAAAATACATCATACGCAATTATTAAAAGTCAATGGCAATGAATAAATCAAGTTTTTTTCTATTGAAACTACAAAAAAATAACATTGTTGCTGCTGTCAATTTATCATCATGAGAGAATGATCGACATATATGATGAAATTTTTTTTCGTTATATTAATATAATAAAATTATGAAAATACCAGATTTGTATTTGTTTCAGAAAGATTGATGATATTAATCGATTGCGACAGAAGAGGATATTTTGTTTTAAAAAGGTCCTAATAATTTGATAACTTTTTCTTCAATTCTATTAAACAATATGTTTCAACAAAGATAACGTTAAATATTAAGATATGAATGAATTGATTCAATTTTGTACGACATCTCTTTCTGTTTAATATATTTAATCTATTATCCTAACCAATAAATCTCTATATAATGAATCACAGGTGTCATCTTCGTTTTTTCTTTTTTGTTTTATTAATGAAAAAAGACAATGTATTCGATTTCATCTGTCCAGACATCAGTTATTGACTGTTCTGATTGTGTTTTTTAATGCTTTCGAAACACTGAAATTTCTTTCATTCTATCTGTATAGAAGCACAGATTTTGTTTTTAATGTACTTGTGCATGCTTCTACTTGAGAATGAAAGTGTTTATTTTATTTCATATGTAAGATAAAATACTTTTTTTTATTTAACCAACCCATTCGATAGTTACAAAGGTGTTTGTATGTTTGTTTTTGAGAAAAATATTATTGATGTGTAGAACAGTGAAAGAATCTCTTTTTTTCGTACTCATTCTTTCAGAAGATTTATAAGCAATGACAACAAATACCTATTATCGTATTGTTGGTGATATAAGAGTTAAAAGTAGAGCATCAACAACTGGAAAAAGTAAAGGAAAAACAGTTGATATAACTTATGGTATGAACAAAACAAATTTTGATGATATTGCTATCATCCAAAGGAATCAACCGCTGACATCTGATGCTCCTTACTTTGTTGTCGAAATTCATAAATGTGGTAAGAAGATTATAGACTAGAATTGAAACATACTACTAAAAACTAAACGCTTTAGATTCAAATGCTATAATATCAGTTGGTATTGCATCATTAGATATTGATCAACATGCAGGTTAATATTATTATTTGTTGTTCATAAATTATGTTTTTTTTTAATTAAATTTAGGTCAATATAATAATTCTCTTGGTTATCATAATAATACGGGACGAATATATTCATCATGGAAAATCCATGCAAATACACTTGGACTTAAATATGGTAAAGGTAATACAGTGGCAATGTATGTAACTTATTTTGGTGAACATCTTTCAACCGTACTTATCTTTTACGATAATTTACCAATAGCTACAAGGTTTATTCTATAAGAAATAAAGACATCTAAATGTATTTATTTTTACTTTCTTTTAGATATCATTTTGAAAGCAATAAAAATCGGTATCTTCCAACAATAACATTTTCTGGTGGATATGCTGTTATTTCAGTTCTTTGGCCAGATGCTGTCCAACAATTACCTTCTATTGCTGACGTACGAAATTTATTTTAATAAGCTAATATAATGTAAATATTTATCTAGATGTCTGTATCTCATTGGATTCGTGGACCATTAAGTAGTTATGATTCATATACAGGTTTTTTTGAAAATCATGCTAAAGTTGAAGATCTACCAATCCAATCGCCTATACCATTAAGTAAATCATTTCGTTATTTTATTGTTAAACAAGACGATCTTTCACCAACTGATGGAAAAGGTGCTAGTGTTGGATTAGCTACTTGTTCTGTAAGATTCCATAAAATTAATTACAATACAATGAATTATTTATTTTAGCCTTTAAAACCACCACCAACATGTTCATTAATGAAAGATTATTATACATGGTTTTCTAAAACGAGAAGTAGATATTTTAATTTTTGTCTTAGACATTTCATATAGTGTAGTCGCCATATTAAACAGCTTGCATGAAGTCGATCTTGTTAAAGCAGATTTTGGAGAATAGGTGTCAAAATATAGATCATGCGACCTCTATGACTGCACTAAGTAAACAAGGGAAATGGCTTATGAAAAAAAAGACAGGATAGTGAAATTATCACTTTACCAATAGTTTATTACTAAAAAGAAGGTCAATCTGAAAAATAGAATTGAAATTTTCAAGTTTGTTGTCTGCTTTTCTATCGTCATATACCTCAAACTTCTTCAATACAACCGATTGCACTTTGAATATAAGTCATGGTTTAACTATCTGAAGATCTCACTGAAATGAGAACCAACATAAGACAACGATATTTTTCGACTTTTGAAAATTGTTCAATTGTTATTGTCTTTACGCATTTAAATCTTCTCGAAGATATCAATTTTCAGATTGATTGATATAGATGTTGAACAAAACTTTGTTTTATAGATAAAATTGATTTTTTCCAATAAATGATTAATTCAATTAAATTTTTTGAATTTTTAGTGAAAGTTGGGAATTCGATTGGTTGGGGTGTTTTTTATGATGAAAATTGTCAAGATGATAAAGCTGAACAATTGTGTCTTTTATTTGTTATGTTTAACAAATTAATAGTTGATGCTCTGTTTGTTTTACAACCTGAAGGTGGTTTTGTTCCAATTGTATTACTTCAGCCATACGGTAAAAACAAACAAATAATAAAAAGAAACTTAGTCAAACTCGATTTTTATGTTTCATATTTAAGCAACAAGAGTATCAATTGAAAGACATGATATATTAACGACAGAAGAATTTGATAAGCTACACGGACTTTATACACAAATGTTCAGACCAGCTATGGAGATTTATCGGAAAGATAAAGATGAACGATGTAAGAAAAGAACCTTCTAGACACACAAGAAAAAGAAGACATAATTCTATTTTAGATTTATCGGAAAAATCATTTCGAAAAAGTGAACAGGTTTTACTTACTATTGATAATCATTTATGTCGAGTTTCAATTCCAAAAACTGAAAATAGTATTCATTATATACAATTTTGTCAACCATTAA